ATTCTTGTACTAAGGGACCTGAATGGAATGATATCATGTATTTCTTTTGTATGAAATATGTGTTACATGCAATATGTGGGTTGGGGCGTTACAGTCTCTCAACCAACTTGACGTCAATAACATATTTCTCCAAGGTACACGTATGGAGGATGTATATATAATCTAACCTCCTGGCTTTATTGACAAAAAAGCCGCCCTTATCATGTTTGCAAGCTCCGTAAATCTCTCTATGGATTGAAACAAGCCCCTAGGGCATGGTACACAAAGCTAAAAAATGTATGTATTCAGCCTTAATTTTCTCAATGCCATCTCTGATCCTTCTCTTTCTTTCTTCGCCACAATAATCATGCCATCTATGTCCTTGTCTATGTCGATGATATCATTGTCACTAGTTCCAACAAAAACCTTATTGACACTTTAATATCTCAAAACTCTGCTCGATTCTTTCTTAAAGACTTTGGAAATCTCTCCTACTTTCTAGGTGTTGAAGTCATTCCTCACCCTCGTGGTCTCTTCCTTAGCCAACAAAAATATACTATTGATATTTTAGAAAAAGGCTCACATGAAAGAAGCCAAACCAATTCCAACTCCGATGCTCACATCTCCACCCCTCTCTCTTAACTTTGGGTCACCTCTTGCCAATCCAACTGAATATCATTTTCTTGATAGAATCCTTCAATATTTATCATTAACTCGTTCTGATGTTGCTTTTAGTGTTAATAGGTTGTCACAATGCATACATTGTCCCTCTATTGAGCACATGACGACTCTTACACGTCTCCTGCAGTATCCAGTAGGTACAATCAATAAAGGAATCATGATTCACAGTAATTCACCTTCACAACTTCATGCCTTTTTAATGCTGATTGGGCAAGAGATAAGGATAATTACATCTCGAATACCAGATATATTGTCTACCTTAGTCACAATCCAATCTAGTAGAGCTCCAAAAAGAAACGAACCGTTTCCTGCTCATCTACTAAAGCATGGTATCACGCTATTGCATCAATCACAAATGAAGTTCTTTGGATTCTTAATCTACTCATGGAACTCGACCATCGATCCATAGCTCAACAATCCATTTATTGTGATAACACAAGTGCCACATTTGTCACAGCTAATCCAAAATTTCATTCAAAAAATGAAGCACCTAGCCTAGGCTACCACTTTGTTCGTAAAAGTGTTCAAAATGGGACTTTCCAAATGTCCCACATTTCAAGTAAAGATGAACTTGTTGTTGCACTTAACAAACTACTTCCTTGCACTACTTTTCAGACTTTTATATTCAAGATTGATCTTCATCTTCGACCTTCCATCTTGCAGGTGATGATAAAGATAATGATTGAAGATTGTAATAAACCATATCATATCCCCTTCATAACATATCCCTTGATTTGATTATTGTAATTACTTTTGTGATCATCTACAATATTTGTTTTCATTTCTTTGGAACTATAAATACATGTTAACAATGTTGTAATAGGCAAGTTCTTTTCCATCAATTTCTATAGTTTAATCATATTTGATTGAACGTTCATATGACATCTATTTATATATGATATTAGAACTTTTCTTTCTCCGGTAAATTGATTAACTTCTTGTATGATCATACCCACACACAGATATATATATATATATATATATATATAAGTGTGTTCACGTGAGACCAGTTTGTTTTCGTGAGACCTATGAGACCATATTTTTACACTTGAAACTCCATAGCAAAACATTGTGAAGGTAAAAAAACCGAAATCTTCACAGCAAAAATACTGTGAATGTTACATTCACAGTGTTTTACTACGAAGTTTCAAGTGTAAAAAAATGTTCTCACGGGTCTCACAAGAACTGTCGGATCTTACGGGAACAGTCTGGTCTCACATAATCTCAAGTCTATATATATATATATATATATATATATATATAAGTAGAGAGAGAGGAATGAGGAAAGTTTAGTTGTGACCATGTTTTCCATTGTGAACTGAGACAAAGAAGAGCGTGATACATGTCCCCATTTTATCTCAATGATCATGAATAATGAACCCAAATCATCTTCAATAAGTAATAAACGTGATTTTTTACAATATTCAGGAAGAATGATACACCATTCATGATGAAACAATGGGACAAGTGGCTCGATCTCGTTTGTCTCTCGGTTCACCATGGGACTTAATATATATATATATATACATATACATATACATATACATATACATATACATATACATATACATATACATATACATATACATATACATATACATATACATATACAAGGAGGAAGATATAGCTTTATATATATAAATATATAAATGCATCTAAAAGTAGGAAGATATAGCTTTTAGAGATATTTAATTGAAGAAATACGTGGAGTAAGATAGATATCAAATAAGAAAATTTGTCTAGTTGCAAGAAACGTGGTTCCACGTTTGGAAAAGGTATGTTCGATTATATTATATTTTTGTCGTCGTAATCACTGATCTATGTAAACCTCTCAACGGTGGCTAAATTAAGTTCAAATTCTTTGTTTTTCAATGGTTAGCTCTATCTTTTTAAAATGTTATTCGAGATTTGTTTCGGCAAATTGATTACACTGCCAACCACGACCAATCGATTTCATACGGAGTCTGCCTTTAAGGATATATTTTGGCTCACTAGGCGGTTGAGGCTTTGGGGGAGTGGTGACCTTCGAACCCATGACTTGTCTTGCATTTGGATAAAGTCATCCCTTCTTTTTGTCAACTGAGTTAAGTGTCAGAGTTTATTGGAGGGCTTATTTGACTGATTATTTTATGACTCCATAAAATTAATAGAGATAAGTGCAAGCTTATCCGAATATTCATAATTAAAAAAAAAGTTAAAAAACAATAAAAGAAATGGTCAAGAAAAAGGTTGGCAATAAATGGGACAGCCCCTCAGATTCTTGTTCAAATGTGTGGAGAGACATTCCACATCTTCTATATGATTTGTGAGACTTATCACCTGTGTTTTATATATGATCAACAACATTTTGAATTATATATATATATATATATATATATATTTGATGATAATTAAATGAGAACCATAAATATATTACAAATTTATGAGAATCAATATAAAAATATTTTTGTACATGATTTTTTTGATCAAAACCTATAATTTAAGATATTGTTTCAGATATGTTTGTGTTCACCTCGTGAAAAGATTACACATGGAAAAAAAATTGGTTCACCTATTGAAATGAAAAATACACGTAAAAAATATTTATTCACGTGGTGAAAGAAATACTTGTGAAACTATCATATTATGAAACAAATATATGTTAATCAATATCTTAAATCCTAACATTTGATAAAAAAATATATTTTTATCAATTTTTACAGGTTTGTAATACATTTGTAGTTCCCATTTAATTTAGCCCTATATATATGTTGTTATTTTCATGTTTGTTTTATTCATATAATCATTGTAAAATACATTATTTATTTATTTAACAGATATTCAAATTATTTTGAGGAAAAATAAGTAAGGAATGATGTTTTTTAATTCCTATAAGCAAATGGAATAGAAAGAAGACATGAAAATGGCGACAAGTGATTTTTATTCCCTACGTCATGCATGTTGTCTAACCCTCCAATGTTAAGTTACACAGGTTTATTTATTTTTTTAGTGACATTTAATTGATTAATTATATAAAATGTGTAAATAATTAAGAATGAGAGAGAGAGAGAGAGAGAGAGAGAGAGAGAGAGAGAGAGAGAACATACACCGAGGAACCAATCTCGCACTAAAAAGGCATAGAACGTCCAAACCGCACCGTTAAGGAAAAAGAAGAGGGAAAGCAGGAACGGCATGTACTCTACGCTTTTAGTTGTCACCACTAACCTCTGCATCGTAAATACCCGAATACATAAAACATACAATTTTTTATGATAAATTTTGTTAAACCCTTTTGAGTGACCATCAAATGATCGTCGACTAACAAAATCTTGTATAATTTTGGACACACGCATACAACAAAATTGTTTTGCTAGGACTCCATCAGTTTTGATATATGGTTGGGTTCACATGAGACCGAGAGTTTTTCGTGAGACCAATTTATGTTCATTGATCAACTTTATAAACTAATGATCTAATGGTTTAAAATTGCACGGTGACAATTTTGTAATTATTGAGAACTTTCGTGGCAAATTTTGTGATTAAGAATGTTGAGATTATAGATATAATTCAAGGGTTGATAATTGGTCTTACGGGTCTCACGAAAAAGTATTGGTCTCATATGATTCCAAGTCTATGTATGTATATATATATATACTAGTTGTGTATCCGCGCAATGCGGCGGGAGCCATGAATTTTACAGATTTTGAAGTTCCACTGGTTTTATAAGATAAGATTTAACGATGATATAGGTTACACTTGGTATTTACATATTAATACAATTTGAATAAATAAAAGTTATGGTTCCAATTACAGACTGTCGATGAAAAAATTTGTATAACAGTTTAAAATCCAATATATTTAAACGACTCCACAAATGTGTTCGATTTACACCAAGAGCAAAAAACCAAGAAACTTGAGTTTTAAGATAAACACTCAAAACCAATAAAGAAAACTACAAATTTAACATATCATAAGCCATGAAAAGACAAACAAAGATGAGTTTTAGAATTAAATTTCAACTGTTTACCCTCTTTCTTGTC